TTGGAAATCTACCCAAATGAATTTAAAAATTAAGAAAATTTTATCTATATAGAATTCTATACTCAATGATCGAGGAAGTGCTAGCGCTCGGGCCATTTTGATGAAGTTCTGTACTTGTTCTAACAGATGTCCTGACAGAATTGCCTCCAGTGAAACGTCCATAAGGTTGTTCTACTATCTTATCTAAATACAATGACTCTACTAAGGATACTTTGATGCAATATAATCGATGTAGGCACTGAAATATTGTCATTGTATACTAGTATTAATATTGTGATTTTTTTTGTTATTTTTGATAAGTCTATTTCCTATATTTCTAGAATTACATATTTAGATTTGTTGAATTTATGTTGACAGAACCATATGTACAGTTGTTATTTTGTAATGGGGGTTTCCTGTTTAACAAATAAATTAAAAAATAAAAATAAAAATTATTGACAATAAGGGTGAAGCTATTCAATAAAGTTTAGTCAAAAATAATGTATCTAGGATACTTTGGAAAAATCTTAGATATAGCATAAGTTTGTGTTATCTGTGACAGGTTAGTTCTGCAATCAGAATATACATATATACATAAGGTAAATAGGATAGTTCTAAATGTTTATTTTTTTAAATAAAAAAAAAAAAAATAAATGAATAAAATCACAAAAATGTAGGTACATGAACTACTATAAAATAATCATATAAACACAATAGAAGCATAAGAACACTCTTTTTGATATATGCTAAACAGAATTAAAATATCTCCACGTGAAACTAGATATCCACTACTTCTATTTTAAACAGAACTATCTTATATTCATAAGAGGTCAGACTTAAGTCAATTCTGCAGTAATCACTCTTGCAAAACAAACCTATCTCCGATTAAAATTTCACTTGTTATTTAGAGTTTAAGATAGGGTAGTTCTGCATTCAAATTAAAATTTAAGATAGGATACTTTTTCAGTTGACTTTTCTCCCCGAGTAATATAGATAGGATAAGGAAGACTCCTACATTAAATCCATAATAGTTGAACTATCCTCAGTCAGCTAGTTAGGCTAGTTCTGCTCTGAAGCAACGATTTATACTTAAAAAATGTAAGTATATAGTTCTAAGTACCCATAGAAAACTGTACAAAATTTACCTTCAAATAATTTTAAGAATACTGTGAATATATCAACCTATCAAATTAATATGATCTACATTATGGAAAGAATTAACAGTCTATCATCGAAATTTTCCCATGGTCCAGATGGGATTACAACTTATTTTTTAAAAAATGCATTTATACTTTGGCTAATCCTCTAAAATCCGTTTTTAACATATCCCTTAAATCAGGAATCTTTCCAAATTTCTGGAAACATAGTTTTTTGAAACCAATTTATAAATCGGGCCCAAAAGAGAAAATTGAAAACTACCGAGCTGTTTGTACCAGTCCGATATTCCTAAAGCATTTGATTATCTCATGAGTAAGTTCTTATCTTGGAAATGTAAAAACATCATCATTAATGAACAGCATGGTTTCGTCCTGGTTGGTCAACAGTGACTAATCCTTGCTTTACAACACTTACATAATTAATGTTTTAGATAACAAGTCACAAGTTGACTCGATCTATACAGATTTCTCAAAAGCCTTTGATCCAGTAAACCACAAACTAAAAAATATTGGAATATTGGATGTCATGCTGACATGGATTTAAAGTTATTTAACGAATCGTTTTCAAAGAGTGAAAATTGTGGGTGTTGTATCTCATGAGATTACAGTTCCTTCAGGTGTAGCTTAAGGTTCTCATTGTGGACCTATTCTATTTAATCTGTTTATTAACGATATACATTAAAATTTAGCCAATACCTACTTTTTGCAGATGATTTTAAGTTATTCAAATCTATTAATTCACATTCTGATATAATTGAATTGCAAACAGACCTTGACTCCCTGAATATATGGTGCAAACTAAACCAAATGGATCTAAATATTAGGAAGTGCTTCTGTATATCTTTTAGCAAAATTTTGTCACCCATCATACATGACTATCAAATTAACAATCATAGTGTATCAAGAGTTGATACCATTAAAGATCTAGGTGTCATGATGAATAGTAAATTGTCTTTTCAGGCACATATAGATAACAGCAAAGGCATCAAAACTATTAGGTTTCATTTCTAGGTCTTCCACAGATTTTTCTGCTTATACATTCAAAATGATGTCTGTATTGTTCTCTAATAAGATCACAATTAGAATACTGTTCAATTATTTGGAACCCATATTACAATACTCATAAGCATCAAATTCTTAAGAATATGAGCCTATAAAATGAGTTATATAAGAGGAGATTACTTATAAGCTTCAATTAATTCTCAATTAAACTTAAAATCACTTGACTTTAGGAGAACAGTTTCTGATATAATTTTTATAAATAAATTGTTAACAGGGAATATTGATTGTCCTCAAGCAGTAGGTCTTAATTTTAATACCTTTAGTAGGACTAGACAATTCGTCTTAATATACCACTAATTATGCTTTTAATTCACCAGTAAGTCGATTGTTATGTACATATAATAAGTTAAAATGTAAAAATTGTGATATTTTTGGAACTATTAATGCTCTCAGGACATATTTAAATAATATGGAAATCTAACATTTTATGTCTTCATTTTCTTAATGATTTTATAATTGTTATTTGATGCCGTTATATTTTGTATTGTATTTTATATTACCTATATTAGTATTAGTTTAATATTTAGTTCAGTATTTATTTTGCTGCTATTATTCTACTTAATGTATTTTTTTAAATGGTGTTACCCGTGAATAAATAAATAAAATACCTATTAGAAATTAATATTAGAACATCTACTTCCTATTTTTCAGGAGCTAGTCCAATGCAATTTTTGTAACACTCTGTGCAGTTGCTATTTTTAAATTATTTAAGGGCTTCTCCTAAAATATGGTGCTAAAAAAGTGAGAGTGAAAGGGGGATAGTATAAACAAAGTATAAAACAATCATATAAGTGCAAAATAGATGAATTATTTATTTCAAAGGTTTTTATATCAAAAGTGAACATACTATTATCTATTATAGTGGTTTTAAGAAATATAAAAGTGATTACTTAAAAATGTGTGGTTATTTTTAAAAATTTTATATAACAGGTCTTTTGATACTACCTACCTATACTGCCCTGCTAAGACAATAGGTTTTATGTACAAAAATTCTCAATTTGACATATTTAATAAGCTTACATTTTATTGTATTACGATACAAAGTTAAATTTAGAAATACCTAGGTATTTGTATTAGAAAACATTTTAAATTATATAAAAAGGTTAGACAAAACTACATAAGTTACTTTACAAAGTCTAAAAGGACAATTATGTAACTTTCTAAAAATAATCATTTTGTAGATAGGACAGGACCTCTTGTCTTAGCAGGCAGTATATATGATATATCTTTTAGTTTGGAAAATATTTACATAAGGTACCACTGAAATATTGAGTGAAAAAAAATTTGAATTTAAATAGTAAGTTGGAACTTAGGTGTTAGTAATACAGTAAATATAGAGTAAATAAAACAATAATTTATGTATAAGGATTCCACAACAATGATGACTAATAATCATTAAAAACTATTTGCAAACTATAGTATCTAGCATAGAAAAATAAAAAGGTATCTAGTACCTAGATACCTACTGGGCGTTTCCAATTGGGCAAGTGCCATAATTTGCTTTTTTTTTTAAATATCTTATATGGATATTGTTACCGGTGTTATTTATTAATGAGATTAGTCATTAAGTGTCAAACATATCGTTAATTAAAATAAAAGTTAAAAACCTTAGTAAGTCCAGTGAGTCATAAATTAACCATTTTATTGCAATTTTTTATTCATTATATTACAAATCAACTATAACGTTTTTAAAAATAATAAATAATAGTTGAGTACGTAATAAATTAACATAAATATAAAAATAGGTGCATTATTTTTGTTTTTAAAAGAGTACACGCCCAACGATAACCTACGAGTGCAATGCTTCCATTGCAATTTACCTGTAATTAGGTTAATAAAGCTGCTCCTGTATAATTATTTTATTCCAAAATTTTGGCCGGTAATAAATAAACATCTGTAGCACTATCTTATCAGTTTTGTTATCGTTTAATCATTGATATCACAATAAACAACATTGCACCTTCACAAACAACATTAATTAAAATGAAATGAAAAATGAAACAACAAATTGACTGAAACCAGAGAAGGGGAAAGGTACGGTTTTGATTGCTGTGATTGGTTTGGTAAGGTACCATTCCACTGTTGCCAGAATATGTTTCTGTTATGTACCAGATTTGTCTAAAAAATGTACCAGATTCCATAAAAATGTACCAGATTTTTCGAATTCTATTTTCAGTGACGGTTTGGTTAATTGAAGAGCAAAAAAGGGGTTTTATAGAGAACGAATGCAAACAAGGAAGACCGCAATAATATAACGCTGCTGCATGCCGAGGAAGAAAATGTACTTTTTTACTTCACTCGATTCTTACAGAATGTACTAGATGTAGTACAATTTTACTAGACTGGCAACACTGCACCGTTCACAAGGAGTTAAAGTGAATATAATCAGTTACAAGTTACAAGAATGATGTTAAAAGTTAGCTCTTTCCTTTACTGTTTCATGTATGTAATACAGAAATAATATATGCTTTCTCTGTTTTTACACAATTGATTGGATTCTTTTGAACTTTCTCTTTTACCAAAATCAACACAGAACTACAAAAATATGACGTAACTCTCAGAACCCATGTCAGAACTAATTATCCTTCCTCCATGGTCAGAACCAATGAGCAATAATCATGCAATGAGCTTCAGTTGCGACTCGTGGTTTGAGCATACAGAACCTTATTTGTGTCACGTGTCAAATTTCTTTCACGCTTTTCGAGAATTTGATTGATTTTAAAAGATTATTATTTGCAAACGTAATTTATCTTTTTTCAAACACTTCAACAAAGAACTGATTTCTTGAAACCTCTTTTAAAGCTTTATAATGTTTTTATTTTGAAATTACCGCCATATACTAGGTACCTTTCATTTTTGGTATTTGGTATTATTTTAATGAGAGAGAAGTGAAAAGTGAAGTAAGTAGAGCCAACAGTAATGGTGTTTTTGTTTGGTTATTCTTTCTTGATTAAATTCTTTAGAATTTAACTGAAACGTACCAAATCGTAATTATAGTTAGTGAATTAATGATTTCAACATGTTTATGGTTTGAATGAAGTATATTTTCTTGATTTTTTTCTAAACTCAATCAAAAATGGGGTCTAGAAATTCTAACAAGAATGGTAGTATAGATGCTGAAAATCTTAATCTGAGCCTAGATATGGGTGACGATATGAAATTGGATGAAGTAAACTATGAAAGCGACGTGTCTTCCTCTAGTTCAGAAAGTTCCACAGCTCCCACCATCAGTTCTGTAAGTACTAATTCATCAGGAAAACTTCGCCGCTCCCGGCATAAAAGAGGCCGCTCTAACGATAAAAGCCTGTCACCAGCCTCAAAAAGACCACGTTCCAAAGATAAAATTAAATCATATGATTACATTACAAAAGTAAATTACTTTTTTCGTGATGCCCGCTTTTTTGTAATCAAATCAAATAATTCTGAAAACATTACACTTTCAAAAGCAAAAGGTGTTTGGTCAACTCTACCACAAAATGAGGCAAATTTAAATAAAGCATATAGAGAGTCCAGAAATGTTCTTCTCATATTTTCTGTAAAGGAAAGTGGAAAATTTGCTGGTTTTGCTAGATTGCATGGGGAGTCAAGACATGATGGATCTCCAATATCTTGGGTTCTGCCCCCAGGATTATCAGCTAAAGCACTGGGAGGAGTTTTTAAAGTTGATTGGATTTGTCGTAAAGAACTGCCGTTTGCCAATACAATGCACTTATATAACCCATGGAATGATGGAAAACCTGTGAAAATTGGACGTGATGGTCAAGAAATTGAACCTAGAGTTGCTGAAGAACTATGTCGTCTATTTCCTGAAGATGATGGCATTGAATTATTGCCCATTTTAAGATTAGCTAAAGAAGCTGCTAAAAAAAATACTTTACGTGGTAGGGATGGACATAGACATCCAAAAGCCAGAATGCCGATAGCAGCTCGTCCCTCAACTTTCAATTTCAGAGGAAGAGGCTCATCTTACTCTAGAAGAAAAAATTTTCAATCCAGAGGACTGACTTCAAATAGTTATAGGCGGTCAGCATCTCCCAGACCAAGAGATAGATTCTCAATGTTTTATGAGAGAGAATCGGCAACAAGACCATATACAGCAGCAGCAGCTGAAGCATATGTAGCTGATTACATGCGTACCATGCAACATCAGTTACCTCCACTACCATATGTAGCCCCTCCTGGACTATACCCATCTTCTGCTTATGATAATCTGCCACCACCAAGATATTATGATGGATTGCCCATTCCAGAATATCCTACATCCAGGGCAAACTCATACTCTGAAAAACGTTCATATGATCGCTCTGTAGATGAATTTATATGGAGAACCAGAGAACGTTCAAGAGATAGAGACCGAGACAGAGATACAAGAGATAGACATAGAGAAAGAGACAGAAGCAGAAGCCGAAGCCGCCACCGCTATAGAGATAGGAGATGAAGAAAATTTGGTGACATGTCAGAAGATTGTTCAAATATTTAGTTCCCAAAATCTTCTTATTGTGAAATTTTTCAATGGCATGTTCTTCAGATTCATTGTCATGATATATGTTTAACACTTCAGTGTCAAAAAGAGATACCCTTTTTTCTTCTGTATTATTGTAGGTACAACTGAACTTTTATAGTGTTTCATTCTTGATTTGTATGATCTTATATTAAAAAAGTACATTATAAGTCTACGACCTAATTTCTTTTGCTCTCTTGTTCCAAGGACTATTTAATTAATGGGACTGAAGTGTTTGTGAGAAATATGAGTTTTTATTGCAAAAACTTTTTACTACAAGAAGTAGGAGTGTTCAAAAGACTTTTCCTCATAAAGAAGGCTGTGTAATTATTGTAAGGTCTAAATAACATTTTTGTATATATCTTTGTATGTACATTTAGAATTTTTCGAGGGGCAAATCACTTCCGCAATACGTGTACAAAATGTCCGCAATCCCATTGAAAATCGCCGCAGTCTCATCAAAATCAGTGACAATCGCTAAGAAATCGCCGCAGTCGTTCCGAATTCGCTCGCAGTCGTTCCGAATTCGCTCGCAGTCGTTCCGAATTCCCTTGCAGTCCCCCGAATTCTTTCGCAGTCACTGAGCAATCGTTAAAAATCGCGCACAGTAAGGTGACATTAACCTATTGCCATTGTTGGCTAGGGTGCTTTGATTAAGCCATCTAAACCATTTTGTGTAAAGAAATTGCAGTTTACATTTATCGAAAGGGTCCTTTCGTGCATTTTGAGGTAAGAACTATTAACCTAAATTTACATTTTGGAATTTGAAGGTCTTTTTAGGATATAAATTTAGACAATAAATCTACAAGATTTTACAAGGTGGTCGAAAATTGTCCTTTTTCATCTAATTTTTTTTTTAATGTATAACAAAATTGTTGGTATTTTATGGGGGGTTGGGGTGATACACGTTTTAATTAGGGTTTTAAATGTATTTTTACTTTCCTATCTGTGTACAGATAAGGAAAGTATAGGAATCATGATTTTTTCGACCTCGAATTTTCGACGGTTTTGGGGTCTCCTGAATCCATTTTGACTATTTTCGCGATGGTGTCCGTGTGTGTGTATGTCTCTCTGTGTGTGTGCGTGCGAGCGTGCGTGTGTGTGCGTGCGTGCGTGCGTGGGTGTGTGTGTGTGTGTGTGTGTCTGTGGAATATATCTGTTATTTACGTTTGGAGGAGAAAATTCTTCAAATAAAAGTTACTTACAATATTATTATATTGTGATATCAAAGTGATTCTGATACTTCATTTTTAAACATAATTGTGATCAACAAAAAAATGAAGGTAAAAAAAATAAGCTTTGTTGGTTATTTTCCACTAAAGACGGGCGCTTGTCAACTGACAGATTACTTCGTGTAAAAGCTACATCCTCAGCAGTACTAAATAACAAAAAAAATCCAGTCCAGAAAAAAACAGCTAAAATACCAAATAACTACAATGACAAAGATGTAACAGAAAGTGAAAAAACTACCGGTGAAAATACTTTGCTCCAGAAAAATATCAATGGCATTTTAATTAGGATCGAACAATATTACGCAGTTCTTTACGAGTCGTGGTACATAGGTCGGATTGTTCAAATAATTGATGAAACCACTAGTAAAATAAAATTTTTAAATTCTGAACTTGAAGAATATTTATGGCCAAAAAAAGACGACATTCAAATTGTTAAAAATAAATTCATATTTTACGGACCCATCAATTTAATTGGATCTGGTCCATTTAAACTAGAAACAAATGATAAGTTAAACATTGATAAAATTTGTAAACGTCTAAAAAAACACTTTTATGAAATTTTTAAATAAAAACCTCCAATTACTTAATTATTTAACTTGTTTTATTTACCTGTACCTATTTGTTCATTTAGGCATATCAAAGATATCTAATAATGGAGGCATATAAGTACCTACATAAAAGTTTATATTTCGTGAATCACATCAATTAAAACTGATCTTCCGAATGAATAAAAAACGTACAAAAAGTTGATTTATTGATATATTGATAAATTTGTGATACACACTTAGTTTTAAATCAATGCATTGTATTTAGCACCCATACATGTGCTATACAAAATTTAGTTTTTCTGATGAAACACCTAGTTAATGCTCTTTTACTGGAAACCAACTGGTAATCCATATAATATCGTAGAAATCCTTCAGAATGCGTGCAATTTGCAATAATACTGGCAATCCATACGTTAATCACCGCAATCAATAGGGAAATTGCCGCAATCAATAGGGAAATCGTTGCAGTCAATACATAAATCACCGCAGTCACGGGAAATCTGTCGGAAGTCATGTGGAAATCACCGCAGTCATCCAGAAATCGCCACAGTCAACCAGAAATCGTCGCAGTCATCCAGAAATCGCCATATGATTGCGGAAATCATATGAATTCGGCAATACATGTACATTTTTACAAAGAGTGATTTGCCCCTCGGAATTTTTATAAAGAATTTTTATTATTACTTGCACTGCAACATTTTATCTAAAAAAATCTTTGAATTATACTTAAAAGCTCAACAAAGATATGCAAAAAATAGTACAACTACCTGACAAAAAGTTAATTTTTAATTGCAAAAACTTTTAACTGCAAGAAGTAAGAGTGTTCAAAAGACTTTTCCTCATAAAGAAGGCTGTGTGATTATTGTAAAGTCTAAATAACATTTTTGTATATATCTTTGTATGTACATTTAGAATTTTTGATAAAGAACTTTTATTGAATTACTTGCATTGCGATATTTATCTAAAAAATACTTAGAATAATACTTAAAATCTCAACAAAGATATGCCAACAAGAGTACAATTACCTCAAAAAAGTTTTCATTTGTTATCCTTAATTTTTTTTTAATACTGCCAGATTTTATCCAATATGTTGTTCAATAACATAAAAATGAATAATTATTTATGAAACAATGTTTTCTTAATGAGTAACTCTTATCTTATCTGGATTATTTATGACCCAATGTGCTTTTAGTTATTCATGTAATAAGTGTTACGAGTTTTAATTATTTATTTCCAATTGTTTAAAAGTTGACTTATACAGGGTGTCCCAAAATTAGACGGTCATATTTTAACAGCATAATCTACATCCTAAAATAAAAGTTCATATAAACATAGGTCCAAAAACGTTTCATTTTCGAGATACAGGGTAGTACAAGTGAAGCCCTGAAGGCACATTTTTGTAAATATTTTCTAAAATTTCTTTAGTCACCGGTTTTCCAAATTTTACCCTAAGTCCCCCCTAATTTACCCACCTATGAAGATGTTCAAAAACTGGGGTTTAGTCCATTAAATAGAGCGTAAAAAGGTAAGCATTTGTACCAAATTTCACTTAGTTATCTTTAAACGTTTAGAAAATATTTACAAAAGTGTATCATTAGGACTTCACTTTTAACACCATGTATCTCGGAAAAGAAACGTTTTCGGACCTATATTTATATGAACTTTTACTCCTATTTTAGGATGTAGATTACGCTGTTAAAATATGACCGTTTAATTTCGGGACACCCTGTATACCTCAATTTTATTAGTATATCCAGTTCGGACTATCCAGGGCCGTTCTTAGCCCCTCTGCCGCCTTTGTGAAACCATAAAAAAGCCGCACATATATTTTAAAATAAAATTTATTAAACAAAAATATTTTAATAAATACTAATGATATTTAACAAGTAATATCGTTAAAACAAAATTTAAAATTATTACTCATAAAATACATAACAAAACGAGGGGTGGATCACCTCTCGAAGTAGGTGTACACCATAGATAAATTAATTTATCTATGGTGTACACTCCTATCGAAGTATCATTAGGAGTACTCGAAGTATTATCAAAAAAGTCAGATGTGTCCAACACATGACTTTCCTATCTAGTTATTATAGGCTTTTTCCGGTTATTTTTTACAACCTATTGCAGCACCTCTATAAATGTTTAGAGGATAAACTAAATATATACATTTTCCACATACATCTACCTCGAAACATTTTTCTATAGATATTAATTGAAAACGAAAATACTGAAGAATTTAAATTTAGCACTTTTCCTACAATTTTTCCATTACGGTCCATTTTAGAAAAATCATGTATAAACAAAAATTATAGAGATCGATATCGCAAACAACTTTTAGTTCAACAATTTTCATAAAAATCAGAATTTTGCACATTTTGTCAAATTTCTCGAATACGGACCATTTCAGGAAATTTTGACAAAACAAAAATTATAGATAATAATACTAGAAGTAACTTTTATTTGAACAATTTTCTTCTCCAAACATAAATAACATATATTTCATAAAATATAAAAACGGCCTCCCATAAAGTACCCCCAAGATGTCCAAAATCCAATCATTTCACGTCACGCCGAAATAAAACAAGTTTGAAATTTAATGTTTTTTTTTTCTTTATCCGTTTTTGAGTTTTCTTCAAAATTCGAAATTTACACATTTTCTCAAATATCTCGAATACGGTCTATTTTAGAGAAATTATATATAGGATAAAAATTATAGAGAATTATATTACAAACAACTTTTATTTGAACAATTTTTGTAAAAAATTATTTTTTTTTTACATTTTGTTAAATTTTTCGAATACGGACCATTTTAGGAAAATTTTGTATAGAACAAAAATTATAGATAATATTAGAAATAACTTTTATTTGAAGAATTTTCTTCTCCAAACGTAAATAACAGATATACAGGGTGTTTCATAATATATGCGCAGGACTTCAGGACGTGATAGCTCGTCCAAAAATATGAAAAAACGTTTCTATTAATTTACCCTCTAAAATGCACAATTTTCGAGAGAAAAAAAATTCTACACCACTGGAAAAAGTACGATTTTGAGACGCCCATTTTTTCTACACCAAAAAGGTACCACTCTAGGTCATACGCTCTAAAGTCGACCGTTTTCGAGAAAAATCAAATTTTAATGTTGAAATACATGGTCATAAATACTTGATGAAACAAAATTTGATTTTTCTCGAAAACGGTCGACTTTAGAGCGTATGACGTAGAAAACATTGGCGGATCAAATGGGCGTCTCAAAACCGTACTTTTTCTAGTGGCGTAGATTTTTTTTTTTTTTTCAATTTCAACACCCTGTATCTCGAAAATGGTGAATTTTAGAGGGTAAGATAATAGAAACGTTTTTTCATATTTTTAGACGAGCTATCACGTCCTGAAGTCCTGCGCATATATTATGAAACACCCTGTATTCCATAAAATACAAAAATGACCACCTATAAAGTACCCCCCAGATGTTCCGACTCTGCCCAAAATCTAATCAGTTCATTGGACGCTGGAATAAAGCTTAAGTTTAAAATTTGGTGTTTTTCTGTGTAACGGTTCATGAGTTATGGTGGATAC